GACATGTGACATCGGGACATAGATAGGATTAGTTTAAAATGTTCTTATTAAATTATTTTGGAAAATTCAGTTTTATTTCTTTGTAATTTTACTGGCATGTTATTTGGATTAAGTTTATGAATGTGAACTCTTTACCCTTACGTGGTTGGAAATTTGATTTTTATTGATGAAAAATTCTATTTTTTTTTATAATTACTGTATATGTATGTTGGGGTAGAGGGTGTCACATAAAGTACCCTAAATGGTAACCTAGGCTTTTTCTAAAATATAAAGAAAAGACCACTAGAAAATGTCCTAAACAATTTTGGATTTGATTGTTTACTAGATACTCACAATCATATAAGCTATATTTGTCTTGTAGGGAAGAAAACGTACTAAGTTCAAAAAAGTATGCTCTTCCCATAAGATCAAACATAGAATATAGATTATTACAGATTGTATCTACTAAATAATGTAAACCAAAGATCGAAAAATGAAGGCAGGATGAATAATTTATCCTCCATCTTGTATGCGTTTCTGAAACTGAGTTATCCTGTCACTCAAACAGTTTTAAGAGAAGAATTATGCACCTATTATTTAAATAAAAGGAATTGAAAAATTTTATGGAGAAAGTGATGAATATTAAAAAATTACAGTCTCTGGAAGTTTGAAGTTCCTACCAAATGTTTCACAGCCGGCTTGGCAAGTGATCTAGTAACTGAACATTTGTCAGCCAGGCCAACTTTTGGGTTACTTGGAGCAATTTTAGGATTTTTTGATAGGCCTTTTACTCCAGCATGCCTCTGCACATTAGTGGCTGTAGAAGAGAAAAAAATTAACAAAATATAACCAATAAATTCATCTCATTTTAATGTAAGAAATTTCTGTTTGGTTCCTCAAGAAACCTGTATTTGTGAACTTCATTGAGGTTACAAACCTCAATCAAAATTAATTTATTAGCTGATCCATTTTCACATCATATTATGCAATAGTACAACAATTGTATTTGAAATCATTTCACTCCAATTCAGTCTTGTCAAACATCCTAGGAAAAAATAACAAACAAACACAAGTTGCAGAACAAACCAGGAATAGGACGACCATTCTGATTACTCTTTGAGGAACCTGAGGTCAACATTCCACTCCTAGCAGCTGTTGCAGTAGCAGACACATTTAATTTTGGACCAGGTATCCTATTGACTTTCAATTCTTTACTCGGTGCCTTTGTGTCAAGTCTTTTTAGTTTGCGAAGGAGTTACGGTAAACACTTATAATTCAACAGATGAAGAAAGTAAAAAACACCAGACAACTCAATTCCATAGCACAGGCACAGTGTAAGACACTCCACTTAATATAATAAAAAGCAATGTGAAGGATATGAGGACGAAGCTACTGGCAACCACGGACAAGCATTGCGTTTTGCTCTATTCCCAACTGTAGTATCATTGACAGTAAGCACTTTCCTCTTTGCCTATCAAAGAGGTATAAAAAATTAATGTAATAGAAATCAGAATAAGTTCAATTTTTATTCACTATGATATAATCGCGTAAAGAGTATGTATACATAGACTAACCAAGGAAACCGGGGCCGGAGAAGCTTTAGCCAATGCACCAGGCTTCGGAGATAAGCCAATTTTGCTATCTTTAACGGGAAGAGCATCTGATGAATGCATAAACAAATTCTCTTCAATTTCCTGCAACTCTATCGAAGTGCCAACTGGCTCTTCTTTTTGGATAGCTTCCTGATTCAACCCTGACTTAGTAGAGACAGTGCCACTAATCATAGAAAGCTCCACTGCATTCAAAATACCTGAAAAGTAAAGTTCAACACCAATTAATTAATAATACCAAATTTTACAGTTTATTCATGGATAATAGAGAGAAGAGAAATGCCTTGTTCGGTGAAGAAAGCTGGATCCCACGCCAAACTCTTGCGCAAGTTGTAACCGCCTCCTCTCTTCTTCCTCTTCATCTTCTGAGTCTCCAAGCTAAGCTTCTGTGGTTTGTTCCAATCAGCGTTCTCTTCGTTCGCATTCTCACCGAGCGAGGAACTCGGAGTTGCAGAATCCGCACCACCGCCACCTTCTCTTCCTTCTGCAGGTGCATTAGTCAAATCAGTGATTAACAATTTTTCATCACAAATTATAGAAAAACCCTAACCGGATTGAGGAGGATTAGATCCGAGGGAAAGGAGAGGGGAGCAAGAGAAAACGTCGGTGGACGCTGCCAAAACATCGAACAGCAACGAATAGTCTTCGCCTGCGATCTCGAGAAGCGGAAGAGCATCTGATGAATGCATAAACAAATTTCCTTCAATTTACTGCAACTCTATCGAAGTGCCAACTGGCTCTTCTTTTTGGATAGCTTCCAGATTCAACCCTGACTTAGCAGAGACAGTGCCACTAATCATAGAAAGCTCCACCGCATTCAAAACACCTGAAAAGTAAAGTTCAACACCAATTAATTAATAATACCAAATTTTACAGTTTATTCATGGATAATAGAGAGAAGAGAAATGCCTTGTTCGGTGAAGAAAGCTAGATCCCACGCCAAACTCTTGCGCAAGTTGTAACCGCCTCCTCTCTTCTTCCTCTTCATCTTCTGAGTCTCCAAGCTAAGCTTCTGTGGTTTGTTCCAATCCGCGTTCTCTTCGTTCGCATTCTCACCGAGCGAGGAACTCGGAGTTGCAGAATCCGCACCACCGCCACCTTCTCTTCCTTCTGCAGGTGCATTAATCAAATCAGTGATTAACAATTTTTCATCACAAATTATAGAAAAACCCTAACCGGATTGAGGAGGATTTGATCCGAGGGAAAGGAGAGGGGAGCAAGAGAAAACGTCGGTGGACGCTGCCGAAACATCGAACAGCAACGAATCGTCTTCGCCTGCGATCTCGAGAAGCGGAAGGTTAGAAATGGAATCCATGTGATATCACTTCTTCTTCTCTTTGAGTTGTAGTTTTTGCATTGGCTGTGAAATGGAATGAATGAATGGGTTACTGTGTCTGCTTCTGCTGCATACTCCTTCCGTAATTCAAATAAGGGCGAGCAGAACCACCGCTGTCCTTTTGGCACGTTAGTGTAATGGATTTACGAGATGAGGCACGCTAATGTCATGGATCGAGCAGAACCACCACTGTCCTTTTGGCACGTTAGTGTAATGGATTTACGAGATGAGGCACGCTAATGTCATGGATTTACGAAGAATATCCAACGTTTGTGTGAGTTAGTTAGTTAGTTATTACCCTTTGCGCCCATAACCCATTAGTCTCTCTTTCTATGTCCTTCTTTACTACTCCGCCTAGTCGTTCCACGTGGATAATTTGAATTTTTTTTAATTTTCATCCATTTTATTTTTTAATCTTTACAATTAAAAGTATTTTACTTCTTTTTTATACATATCATTTTTATTTTTTTTTTAATTTCTATAATTTCATAAACTTTATCTTTTAGAAATATCATTTTTTAGTTTATATAAAAATAGATAGGATAGAGATTAAAAGAAAAAAAATATGTATAAAAAATAAAATGAATCATTTTTAACTGTAAAAATTAAAAGGTAAAATTGATAAAATTACATGAAAAAATAATAATTTTTTTAAAACCAAAACAGTGTGGATATATTTGTTCTAATGTTTGTGGATTTGATGTTTTGGAGAGACAATTTTTAATTCACATATTAAATGAGAAACAACAAAATTGTTGTAAAGATCTTGTCATAAATATTACTTTAAGATTGAATTATCAATATTCATTCCTTTCTCATAATTCTTTGTATATTTATCACACAATTTGAATCCTAAAGATCTACCAGTGATATAATATAAAATTTATAATGATTATTTTAAGAGTTATATTTGAGATGACTTCATATTAGTTTATATTGTGAAAATACTTACACTAAAAGCACATACAAATTAAACTCTTAAATAACAATTTTTGAAAAATATTAATTCTTATATATTAAACACGAATTTCTATTTTACATAAAAGTGTTTTTAGGGATTTTTCTTCAATATGAATATTTGTAGAGACTTTTTTAATTTCTTATCTAATTTAATTTTTATTTATCATAATTATTTATGAATTAAATATTAATATTTTAAAATAAATTATAGATAAATAAATATTTTTTTACAACACAAATTATTTATCATAAATCTAAAATATAATTTATATATTTAAAAATATTTATGTATACTAATTTTAAATATAGTTTATATATTTAAACATAATAATTATTTATATAATTTATTATAAAATTTAATTAATTATATAATAAATATGTTTATGCATTGCATAGACTAAAATACTAGTTAAATAAAATGTTAGAACATGAGAAGAATTAATAAGTTTAATATCATATTAATAATGATCTAAGTAAAATCAATTTTAATTATTCATATACTGGAGAAAAAGAAGTATTGTGTGTCTTTGTGTTTAAAAAATAAAATAAGAGAAGAGTAAAAAAAAAACGGGGAAGAAAAATCGAGCAGTGATTTGTTTTTAAAAAATCTCTGTAACAGTTATTTTATTTTCAAATTTTACTCTTTAATAACTAGCATATTATATTGTTTAGAATAAAAACGTCAAAATAAATGTGTATATAAAAATAAGATATTATCTTTATAATAGTCAAGTTATGATTGCTTTTATAATAGTTATGGATAAATAAACCGCTAAATTATATTGATAAAATTTGGTATCCTATTAGGATTGACTTGAAAAGAGGAGATATATATAATTTTTATTTGTCTAAAGTTTAAACAATTAATAAAAAAAATGATAAAATTAAGTTATATTCTTATTCTCACGAGCACACTTTTCATTTTGTTTTATAGGAAGAGACATAATTAATAATACGACATATAAAGAGTTACATTAAATTAATCCATGAAATTATAAACATTGATAAATTTAATCCTTAGCATTATAAAAAAAATAAAATCTTTTACAATTCTCACATTGGAAATGATACCTGAATATAGTCCTTAACATACAGATTCAATATGGATAAAATTTTTGACAATCATAAGCCAATTTATTCTATGATGTTAAGACTGGGGAGTCATGTTGAACAAAATTAAGAACTAAATTAATATTTATTAAAACTCAGTTTAATAAAACTAGCTGATAAACATAAAATAATATACTTATTTATTTTTTGATAATCAGAATAAGAGAATGATGAGATAAATAACATAATTTCTAAATTAAAAATATAAAAAATCAAATAATTGAATAAATAAAAAATAAAAGAAATTAACAACTTATAAACTATAAACTACAATAAACCTATGAAAATAAATTATAATTTTTTTAAATAAATTCCAGTACCAAATAAATTTATTTTGTTCAAACAAATTTATAAATCATTCTAAAAACACTTACAAGTTCCTAAAATATTTTCAAACAATAAATGACTAATTATTATCAAAATTAACACGTTGATAAATCTTCAACATTGAAACTAAAATGATTAATATTGACTTATTGAGTACATATTTGATTCCACCTACAAAATTATTTCGAATTTTTCACGTCAAGTTCACCTAAAAGATCCAAAAGTTAGTTATTTTAGGTTGAGTAATATATATCCTTCGAAACATAGTTCGAATCATCTTCTGAAATATTAAAATATTATCATATTTTTTTTATAAATTTATTATAAAATAATTATTTAATTTAATATTTTAATCACTTCGAATGATTTTCGAATCATCCTTTCGGACATTCTATCATTTTTCTTTTAGGTTTAGTGTGACAAACGTTAATCTTTGGCTGACACTTTTAATGATTTTGAGGACAATTTTTATTTTTCCTTCATAATTTAAACGACTAAAATGACTAATAATATCATTTTCAATAACTAATTTAATGAATTACTCAGATATATAAAACTAGACAGAAGTGCAGATAAAAGTAGTAAAAAAGATGTGTAATGTCACTTTATTTGATTCCCAGAGCCAGAGAGGTGCATAAATTAATTCAAATTTTATTCTGGGCTACAGTCTGCTTATCATGTCACGAGTTCATACAGATGGCATAGTGTTTTCTGATTAAAACTAATAAAAAGGAAGGGACTATAACTTGTAGTTAACCATTACAAAAGAATTCAGAGTAAATACCTACATCCTATGAAAGCCCACGCTACATTATTCGCATGCGGACGGGCTTAAGACAGCTTACTAAGTGGGATGAGCACATTTTCTCAAGTTTTTGAAAGGGACATTAATTCCGCACTCGGTACGGCAGTGTGAATACAAAAACAAAAATGTCTCAAATATCATAAGGTAGAAGATTCAAATTCATAACTCATAAATCATAACTCCAATATAGAAATTACAAAAGAAAAGAAATTAAGATTTTCAATACAATTTAATGAAAACCAGAAATCATATATATATAATAATAAAGGAAATATAGATTAATTCCAGTAAAGGTAGCAGCGCCTCCTAGTTAAGAATTAATTTATAACTCCCAAATCATCTAATAAAAAAATATGACAAAGATGCACATTTTGGTCTATGTCAATACTCATCTCGATAAGAGATGTCGTCGAGATCCTCAAATCAGCGAGTGACAACGAGGCACCGCCGAGTTTCTCAAGTCAACCCAAGGATCACTGTCGAGTATCCACCCAAAGGTTCCGAGGTCTACCTTCACAAAAGACGTCAATACTCATCTCGATTGAGAGACGCTGTCGAGCTCCTCAAATCAGTGAGCGACAACGAGGGCACCGTTGAGTTCCTCAAGTCAACCCAAGGATTACCACAAAGTATCCACCCAAAGGTTTTGACGTCCACCTTAACAAAGGACATCAATACTCATCTCGATTGAGCTCCTCAAATCAATGAGCGACAACGAGGGCACCACTGAGTTCCTCAAGTCAACCCAGGATCACTGCCGAGTATCCACCCAAACGTTCCAAGGTCCACCTTCACAAAGGATGTCAATACTCATCTCAATTGAGAGACACCGTTGAGCTCCTCAAATCAGTGAGCGACAAGGAGGGACGGTAAGGAATGCATTGAGGATAATACATGTTCCCTCTTATTATGAAAGGGAGCTTATGAATAAGCTCCAAAGGCTCCAACAAAAGAGTTTGCATGTAGAAAAATATAGGCAACAAATGGAGCTTTACGTGATGAGGGCGTGTATAAGAGAGGAAGAGGAAACCACCATAGCTAGATTGTTTAGTGGTCTTAACTTTAAGATTAGAGATAAAATGGAGCTACTACCTTACAGGGACCTAAATGACTTGGTCCAACTTTGTATTAAGCTAGAACAACAACTTTGAGAAAATATTCTTTTAAGAACGAAAGTTCCCACTCTATATCTTATAAGAAAGACTACAAGAGGGAGGGTAAATCTTTTGAAAAAAAAAATGCTATAGAACCCTCCAAGGAACTAGCTAAAGATAAGGGGAAAGGAAAGGTCACTCCACACACTAGCACAAAGACTAGTGATATTAAATGTTTCAAGTGTCTAGGGAGAGGTCACATTGCCTCTCAATGCCCCACAAAGAAATTCATGGTCTTTAGGGGGCATGACACTTATAGTAGTCAAGAAGAGACTACTACCTCCTCTTCGGTACCCTATGACGGTTTTAGCATAATAATGATAATTTAAATGTTTACCCCTTTTATTAATAAACTATTTACATTTGAATTTAAAATTACACGAACTCACCTAAGATGTATACATGGTTGTTTTTATTTTTTTTTTTTTGAAAAATGGTAGATGTGTTATAGCATCACTATGCGAAGGGGGATCCTAACTAGGTTAGCACCCTGCAACGCACCAATCATATGCTTCACATCAAGCGAGGCTAAAAATTAAAAAGAAAGAAAATAGTACAAGGCGGGGGGACCAAACCAAAACCCACCGAAAAAAATTACAAAAAAAGAAAAGTAATGTAAACAATGCCATTCACAAGGCATGAACCAAAACCATATCAAGCAAACTATATACAATTAGCTTGAACCCCCAAAATCACCAAAAGACTGTTTAAGAGAATTTAGATGATTTGGGATATCTCATTCTCAACCTATAGGCGGACGATGTCTCCAGACGAGGTTTGCGCCTAGGAGTGTTGTGAGATTGCTGAGATGTATTGGCCGGGGTTGAACCATC